GCTGCTGCCGAGCGTGTTCCGCGTGTCGGGCCCGCTGCGCGCGCGGCGCCGCGCCGCCCCGCTCTGACCGCATCGCAACCACCGAATGACATCGATGTGAATTTCCAATGTGGTAACAACGTACAATATTGTGATCCCTTTTGTTTTCGTTGAATAAAATTGAGGAAGCAATAGAATTATTGTACAAGTATGATGTCATTAGAAATTCACTCACAGGTATAAATTCCTCTCAGTGACTTTTGTGGATTTCCTTTACGTACATTATTATTTGTATTGTACTAATTATGTACTGTAAATATCTCTATATATTTGTTAAGTTTACTGTAAGTTATGCTCGCTAATGTAATATCATCTAATTTAAATTGCAAATTATATGAAATTGTATCAACATACCAGATGTTTTATTGCAACTTTGACTTGACTGTTTTTATTACAAGTTGTATGTAATGGTGTACTGTAAGGACTAATCATACAAACTGATGCATTGTCAGAATTATATTGCATAACCATTAACAGTCAAAATTTCCACACATAGTACAGGAACCGAGGAAAAGGAAGGGATAAAAGAACTTTGATTAGGTAATTTGCTAGAATGGACACAAAATAAAACAACTCTTTTGTACTGCTGTATATTAATAGTTAAATTATTGTAATTGAATTCTTAATTCATATAATGTATTACGACGTAGTCCGGAGCCGCGCGGAGCACTCCGCTACCTCACTATAACTAACAAGTGATACAATCAGCAGCATACAAACAATAAAGTATTACAAAATACCTATATAAAGTTATGTCCTGACCTTTGCAACGTCCATGTTTACATCACATATTTGTTCACCAGACTTCTGCAGCGATAAGATACCTTCTACAACGATTGATTCTTGCACCATACCATGTTTTAAAAATTATCTAACCGCAAATTCAAAAGAAATATGTACTTCACAAACACAAGAGACTGGTATATTGTTGCTCGACTCAGAAAGTTAAAGCAAATTGTCTCATTAAAATTGTAATTTAAAAATTGTACCAACATTAGCACCGACCCTGCTAAAGATAGGTAGCACGTCAAAACTTAACTAACTTATAATAGAAAAATTATACAAAACAATCAAAAAGAAGTAAACATTTTAACATAATTGCTGCACACGTAAACCTACATAGAAATAGAAAATATTTAACACGCTCAATACCATTGTCATTTTACTGCACGTCCCTGCGCAGGCCGAGTGCGGCATTGAACGTGTTAATTAAAAAATTAAAAGAAACATTATTAACAATAAGAATGAAAATTAGATTCAAAGAGAAAGTTTAATAGTTCCCAGATTTGGTAATTTCCCAATGCTACGCTAGTACAATGACGTCACCTCTAAGTCCGATGACGTCATGTACGAGGCGTGTCACCGGCAAAACCAGAACGCCACCGCATTGTGTGATTTAGTTAGATGTGACATTGTTGGAGTCCGCACAAACGGGTGGACTACACGATTTGTTCATGACATACACAAATGTTACAAAAACATTAAAAGAAGGAAAAATTAACAATACTCAACAGTTTAACAGCACATTTTTCAAGAGGGGTAAATTATAAACCAACCCTAGATATCACCGTTTAACACGTTCAATGCCGCTATGAGTTTGACATTAAAATAATTGGCAAGTCTGAATGTAAAATCGGAAAAATCACCATTTCTCGAAAATAATGTATCTATTTGCGTTGCTGAAAACGAAAATGATATTTTTTTTTATATTAGTCTGTTTGCAAGCCGCTTGTATCATGGAAAAATTGTAGGCTACGCTTTTTTAAACTTTGCGCTATTGAAGTGGCGAGTGACCGCTAGTATTTAAATGGAAAAAAACCCAATGAGTCGGCATTGAACGTGTTAAATTAATCTCTATTACCTATACGCAACTGTCTGGGGTCGGCTTGTATACAAGTCAAGTTGTTATAACTTGAGACTCTGTACTTAACGCTACAACCAACTTGTGCGTACAAATGTTATTGTACGTGTCTTGTGCCTAGTTCGCGCCAAACTAGTAATTTAGTCGAGATCCGATTCATTTTGTATTTAGAAGTACCTGAAGACCGAAAATTTAGACAAGTAGGTAGTGGCTAAAATACTCTCAAATCGTATTGAGAGTATTTTAGCCACTTACTCAGGATTCGACTAAAGTCTAGCCTAGTGCGAACTAGGCATTAGCGCGACTTATAGCTAAATTTGTACTTTGTTTACAACTAGCGCTTGTCCACTATACTATCTGAGAACCTGGCAGCTGTCGGCCGCTGGGGCGCGTCGCTCTCATACATACTTATAACAAATTACAACAGAAAGTTGTACATTTTTGTTTTAGTGTGATATCACTCAACTGTCGTTAGTCTACTGAATGTTGCGACAAACTATATCATTTACTGAAAACAATTGAAAATAAAATTAGTACTCAATATAGACATTTAAAGTACGTTGAAGTGATGTTTGAATGTACTATGAAGGCGATGTTACCAGATGTGGGCAGAGACGAGCGGCTA